ATGTTATTTTCCTATCGTGCTTATCTCCAATAACTAATTTCATCTTATATTTCATTGAGAAGAATTTTTTTCATAACAGCTTTATGCGTTTTTTTTTATCTGAATAGATTTAATACAAAATTTATCGTTTCAATGGAATAATATTCATCATATTAGATGATTATGATTTTAATTTTGTAACATTCTTTATATTCCTAAAGGTATTTATATTGACAATCTTATGTTTGAAAAGTTTCCTGTTTTGAAATTTTGTTGTCTCATATCTTACTTGGTTGGATATATTTTTCGACGATTTTTGCAGCTTTAATTAAAATTATCTTAGTGTTCTTTTTAAAATTCAATAGAAGATGCTAAGTAGATAAATGAATATTATTCCATTGAAATGATAAGTCTCGCATTAAACACGTGCAGAGGTGAAAGACATACTGATGTTATGAAAAACAATTTTTCTCAAAAATATAAGATAAAATTATTCACTCAAAATTGATAATATGAATGCAATAGAGAAAAATATATCTTTTGTAGAACTTTAAAAGATCTATGAAAAAAGAAATAGAGGAGGCAGATCAAACAAATTGATTCAGTCATCTATAGATAAGCAGATCAAAGTGAAAGTTTTGTAAATCTCCTAACTTTCTTCTCAACTGATGATTTACTTCGAAAATATTGATATCAAATGCTATCAAAATTTGATGTTTTTATTTAACCAAAAAGTAATTGACTAAAGGCAATAGTTCCTTGAAAAGAGCAACAACAATTATATTCGATATGAAAAGAAAAAGGCATGCGTAGTCTGTGAAACCATGAGTCTTCTTTAAAAGACAACAGTTGGCGAAATTAACTTTATCACTCACTGGACTTATCTCAATGTACGAGGAAACAGTAGTTAAGAAAAAACACTTTTCTTATATGAGCGCATAAGTAAATTTATAGAAATCATGACTTTTCAGAAGAATTTGAACAGTTTGTTCAAGATTTTTATTAATAAATTTACTAGCAATCAAAAAATTTGAGTATAAATACTACATTATATGGAAATAACTATTAAGGCTAATGATTCAAATGTTTCTCTGACTAGCGAATACTTGAGTAGGAGTTAACAGACATGTTTTTTTGTTTTTGTTTTCAATGCATAGTTTTTAAAACAATCAATGACATAACTATTAACTACTTCTACCAGCGTTCTGCAAGATTTCAGCATCATCATTTTAAAGATCGTGACCTTGCAAAGTTCTCTTTTTCTTTTGAATAACTTTTGAAAAATTTATATTCCAAATATTCAAACATAAAATTTTTTTGCCAAAAAATATAAGATTTTCTTAAGATTAATTAAAGAACAGAGTGAATATTTGCGATACAAGTCAATTCCAATTTTATCTGAATTTTCACTTATTCAGAAGAAATATATTTATTTAAGATTAGAAGACTTAACTGATAATATCTTAGAGTTTCTGAATTTCGTCGATGGCCAATTTCTGAGAAAGAATGTCTTTGCAAGAGTTCAAGAAATGACATATTGAAGAAAATCAGGTAATCTTATATTACAATAAAACTGAATGATCGAGTTTATGATCCTGATGATTCTTAAAAGTAGATATCAATGACAATTATTAGCTAGAAAAATGTGAATGAGATTGATTGATCTATTCAGAAGAGACAGATAATAAACTGTAACTGTGGAAAAATATTTTCTTAGTCTAGAATATTTGCAACGACTTGCTTGTTAAAACAAAACGCAAATTAAATTGATAATTGTCCCAAAATCAAAAAAAAGAAACACTTCTTCAGAAGAAAAAGTGAAGAATACAACGAATTCCTAGACAATAGAATGTATGGCTTTGTAGATGAACCGAAAACTCACACCTTATTGTATATATTTCTGTTTAAATTAAATTTTATGAGAAAAAAATTTTTTATTTTGTATCGTCACATGTATGCAAAGTTTACTGTGTCAACAACAAAAAAAATATTTGAAGCAAAGTTAAATAAGTTAGAACACAAAATTTATATCACGAAAGTAGATTGTGAGAAAAAAAGTTTTGAAGCTAATCGTCTCTCCTATTTTCAGTAATGAAAATAGAACAGGATTCAACATCATACTATTCATTGAAACAACGACTTCTTCCATAAACATATATTAGTAATTTTGAAAAAATGAATAAATATAGATAGGCATATGAAAAAAAATGATTAGCTAAGATATAATCATTTTTGTAAAGTTGTGATGTTATATGTGATTATCAAACGATGTTCGATGAAATATTTTGCAAAGCGATCAATTTACATTTATAAACATTTACCAAAAATCCAGAAATAAATTTAAAATAAAATCTAAATATGTTTGAAGTATTCTAGAATGTGTTTACAAGCCTTTTAGTATCTTTAGAATGTAACAGGAACATGGTGCGATCATTTTCTTAAAGAATATTCTTTAGTGATGATTGGATTTTCGTTATTTATGATTTATTTTTTCTGAAATCATGCATTTTGATGATTGTATCGTTGAGTTTTAACTTATGCTTTTCATTAAAAAAATTCTCAGAAATTTACAATCTAAAATAATTTTACAGGATAATACCGCGCTTGTCAGGCATCGAATTGAACTCGAACCTGTGGAAGTTGGTTTGATTCCTTTTCTGATAGTTATCGTTAAATAGTGTCCATGATGAAATTGCTTTTTACATTAAAATATTCAATTTTATTCTTTATTATGAAATTTTTTTTGTATTGATAATAAAATAATAAAAAATACGAATAATAAATCAAGAAAAAAGAATTGTTATTTGAATAAAGAGAAACAATTGTGTAGTGCGAGATTTTTTGAATTTATCATTTTCAATGGATTTTCAGAAAATAGTTCAATAGGATGAAGTATGGTAGCTGCTTTTACATATAATCTACTAAACCAAAACGATTCAAAGATTGTAGATGTGGTTAAACAGAATATCAACATCTATATTCACATTCTTCTTGATATTATTAAAAGTACTAGTTATAAATACAAGTTTTAATCCAGATTTGTGCAAATTTCTCTTAAACTCTAACGACATGATTTAGAAAAGTTTTCGTTAAAACTTCAATGGCTAAAATATGTTTAATAGATACATGTAATCGACTTATTTACTAGTTAAATCAATGATTGAAATCATAATAAAACATACGATATGAAATATAAATCAATAAGCCAAACAGAAATTAGAGCACAAAATAAATGACAATCTATTCTGATTGGTTTTAGAAAATTTAGATATGATTGTTATAGTAGAGACCAATTCTAGTAAAAAGAAAAAAAGTAGATAAATTAATTTTTGTTGCTATGTTTCCATTTTATGAATTGATATTTTTAGTCTTTATTGAGGATGCGGGCATGGATGACCGAGGGAGAGAGAGTATATGGTTCATCAACATATCCAAACAACATCTACATTCACACCGTATTTTGAATGTGTTCAAGTAAATCAGCATATAATTTTTCTGGATTCGATTCATTTATGAATGCTTGTTCAAATTGACGTCAATGTTCAATATTCGTTAACTAAAATAAATAAAATAGATTTTGCTTTTTTGTTGATATAATTGATATTTGCAGAGACTATTTTCGATCAGCAATAAGAAATAAACGATTGCCTGATTCTTCGAAACGAACACTGAAACGTGATAACATCAATAAAAACCTAAAAAAATAAAATATATACTATATTATCAATGAAAATTCATTTTGACATTTCATGACGAAATTTATATGATTTTGTATTGATCGTCATTCCTTCGGATTGAAATAAAGAGTTTTTGTTTTTCATTAATGTTTTACTATTTATCTTTTCCAAATAAATTTTAATTGTATGTGTAAGTCTTGATAATTTTTAAAAAGAAAACTAGGAAGAATATTTAACCATAGGCAGAATTTTACTCATAAGATGGTGTGGGTGTGGATATCATTATAGGTCTTGTCTTCATCCACACCCACACGTTGTGATAGACATGCACTTAACATAAGACAAGTTAACTCCCATATAGCCATACATAGTGATTTTTCTTTGTGCAATATTTGTCATTGATAATAAAGTCCATTCATTAACTTTAGCTGAATAACGGGCATTAATTAAAGCACGAAAAAAAAAAACTAATGTGTTCAAGTAATAATGATAAAGGACGTAATAAAAGTAATGCTTCATATGCTAATGTTGATGATTGTTTTGTATGTGCATATAATTCTTCAACAAGTTCAATAAGAATATTATCTGATGATGATATTATTGATGAACTAGCAATTATTGTTTGTTCTTTATTAACATGTTCATTATTTAATGAATTTGTATTTTTATTTGGTCGTTGTAATAATGTATAAATACGTGTAAGTATTAACACCATATATCATTTTTGAGATATTGACCAACTATTAAAAGTTTTTCAAGACTAATTGATATAATTTTTTGTATTAAATTATCATCTTTAATTAATGATAATCAAATATCATATGAATTTAAATCAGCTTCATGAATAAACATGATGCATATGCATGAGTTTTAGTTATTAATTTATAATTACGTTCAATTAAATTTATATATAATTCATTATATTCTTTTGTTCTTTGTTCAAGTAATATACTAGATTTACATAAATTATAACTTATTAAGGATATTATTAAATCATCTACATCAAACCATGTATGAAAATATTCATCATATAAATGATAAATGTTGTGATGATGTAAATAAATCAGATAGATATATAATTGAACCTATTAATTTATATTACATATATTTCAATTAGAATTTGTAATGATAATGTTAAATCAAAACCATGATGAAAAAATAATCGATCAAATAAACTCTAAATTATATATTTTTAAAGATGGATTCCAGAAAAGAAAATGTTCATACTCTAATTTTTTGATTGATAGAATTTATTTGAAATTATTGATATAAACTTTTATCTCTATGAAATAAGATAGTTTGCATGTATTATATATCAAATCAAAGTCAGAGAAACACTAGATTTTCTCTTTGATACAATATAAATCATGTCAATAAATATATGATATGTATATACATATTTAATTTTTCTTGTTAAATAATAAAGATGATCAAGATCATTAAATAATAAAAGTAATAATTGAATACAAGATCTTTTATCTGGTTCAATTAAATTAATATATGATTATAATATACTTGATATAGTTAAACCATGTCGTTGATAAATATATTCAAATATTGATAATAGTATTTTCGGTAACATACAACATGATATTATTTGATCTGTTTCACAACTAAGAAATGATGTTTTTTTTTTGAAATATATTTATATAAATTATTTCTGATATAAATATTATAAAACGTAATAAATCTTGTATATCACCTGTTAAAAATTGACATGTTAATTCAACATGATTTTGTATTTTATCAAAATATATTGATATAGAATCTATGAATGCAATTGAATATGGTTGATTATTAGAAGCATGATAAAAGACTTTTTTCATAAATTGTATTAGGTGTTGTTTCAATGTCATTTTAATTTGTTTCATTTGATATAACTATACCAAATCCTAGGAAAACAAACAAAGAACAGATTTATATTGTTTCTTATTTTCTCAAATCAATTTTCATTTACTATAAGAATCATCCTAAAAATTTTATGCTGTGGAAAAAATCCAATACGTTTTCGGAGTTCACGAGTTGAAACTTATAGAAAGTTTATCGAAATTCTCGAATGCAATTTATTTCGAAATATAATATTAGAAAGACGTCGTTTTCTTTAATTGTAACAGTACAAATAGCACGACTGAGAATTTGATCTATAAGATTCGAGAGGAATTATTCGGTCATTGTACTAATGTAGCTTAAATGCTTTCCTTTACGATTTATATTACCTGAAATTCTGCATATTTTCTATTTCAAAATATTTTTCGAAATTTTGAATTATTCAAAAGTCTCATCTATTACTAGCACATAAACAATGTCAAAGTAAAAACAAAAACATTTCTTTTAATTGGATTAAAATTTTTATTATACATATATATTTATCTATTTCGATAAATTAAACTAAAATATACCGGTGACATCATAAATGGTAATCATTTTTTTATAAGTTATATTTTTAAGCATTTGTTCATAAATTTTTCTTGTTATATCCATAGGACAATTAAGATTATTAAAATCTTCTTTAATAATATCGTTTGATATTGTTATTGATAATATTTATAAAATTTATGGTATATATTTAGGTCATAATTGTTTATTTAATGGTAATGGAAGGAATTGTTCAACTAATAAAACTAATAGAAGACCGCTTTCATCTAAATGTATTCCTTCACAAAAAAAATTAATGACTTGCAAGTGATGTATGATGTATAAGATCAAATAAAAAATAATAATAATAATTGATAATGTGTTGTTATTGATATAAAATGTTCAACATATAATTCATGATGATATATTAAATCACAATAAGATTGTAATTGACTACTTATAGATAAATGTGTAATTAATGATGATGGTGTTAATATTGGTGACCACCATGCTTCTTGTATATAATCAAGCATATTCAGAATATGTATCCATTGTAATAATAATGAGATATAAAATGATGATCATAATAATTTAAAACATTCATTTAAAATAGTTAAATATGAAAATGTCTCAAGACAATGTAGAGTTTCATCATGAATTCATAATTGATGAAAATCATTTACAATTGTTTGAAATTGTTTAACTAAAATAAAATCATAGATCTTATATTAGCATAGGAATTTTAAAGTCAAATGTTTTTCGCTAGGTCATTAGTAATTAATGAATTGCAGGAAATTTTTATCTTCAAATTAATGGGTGATATGTACATAAAGATAATCGGATGCAAGAGAAACTAATGTCATATTGATTTGACCACATAATTGTCAAGTATTAGTTAAAATTCGTAATATTACGTCATGTAAAATTGGAAGAAGAGCTCTGAAAACAAAAACGAGAATAATACTTGTTAAATTATAAATAAAATCATTTCGAATACTTACGCACTAAAAGTTTCATCTCGTGTTCCATTAACTGATAATAAAACATCATTCTATCGTGTTAATATAGCATCTTCAGTTAAATTTTGTACAAGACATCGAAGTATTATATATATATTGATTAATTATCGATTTGTAGATTGATAATTGACATTCTAAAAAAAATTTTAAACTATAGGAAAATTTTATAAATAAAAACAACGAATATTTTTATTTACTAATACTCGAAAAGCAATAACAAATGGATCAATTGATCGTAATTCAACTGATGATACAACATCAAATAGTGTTAATTGTGTGGGATAAATATCCAAAAGTGATTGATCCTATTTGAACAAAAAAATAACTTGAGATTGTAAATGAACAAGAAGTAAATCGACAATTTGTCGTGAAAGACGTTCCCATTTATCATCTTCAATTTGAACACTATTAACAAAAACTGTGAACAATCGTAAAGCCTATAACAATATAAATTCTATTATTATTTTTTCAGTACATACACATGACATGAAAAGATACTTTTATTTATAATAATTAAGACGTCTAGTTTTCCTTCAAACTCAAATACATAACAACAAGATAATTATTTTCAGATCATCAATTGGTTGAAGTGTGGGTGTGGGTTCAATCGAGGAGAAAAATTACATATACACACCCACACTCACAACTTCTCGAGTTTCTAAGATATTTGAGACTTTATAGAAGGACACTTTTTGTTCACTCTCATTTAATAAAACGTTTTAGGAATTTTAATTATTCGCATAATTCGAACAAGAAAAAAAATCATATAAAAGTGGTTCTAATGCTGTCAAAGCTAAACAAAGAATTTTAATGATAATTTCATTTTCTCGAAAATGTTTTTTTTTGCTTACTACCATGTGTTTCAGGTTCATGTCCACTTGCTAATAATGAATCATAATGTTTTATTAAATCTTGTATTTTAATAACTTGTTTTGAATGAAGTGTATCATGTGATAACATAAGAAGAAATTCAGCAATACAATAAATAAAATGCTATTTAAAAATAAACGAAACAATTAGAAATGCAACGAATTTCATCAGCTTCTAATTAACCATAATTAACACGAATTAAAAGTAATTGAACAAGTAAATCGAGTACAGCAGCTTGAAAATCACTTTCATTTGTATATTAATATATTTTTTAAGACTAATTTTATAGTTCAATAAAAACTAAAATAGACAACAAAAACAACAGAATAGATCAAATTCATTTTTTTTGTTTATTTTACTCTCGTATTGTACTATTAATATTTGATGCATAACGTGAACCAAATAAAATAAATTATCGATTGTCTAATACTTATTGTATGAATATAAGTTAAACAATTATTTAATGATACTTGTGAGGAAATATTTGAAGATTTAATAAAAACTAAATTAAAAGAATATTTTTAAATAAATGTTG